CCGAGTAGATACTAGGCGTTTCACAAATGGAAGTCTCGGGAACGCCCCGGGAAGTGTGTTGTGTTTCTGAGCCCCGCAGACCTCAGCGGTGTCCGTGGGCGGCTCCGTTAGTCGGGAAGAGGGGCTGGGACTGGAACTCACTTCCTGAGTCATGCTGGTTACTGTGTACCTTCCCACAGACCTTGTTCCCCGAACTAGGATGTTAGCATTCACCGTTTCATGCTGCTTTTTAATAAAGACGGTTTGGTGTGTCACAGCTTCCTGTGAGACACAGGCCAGTGGTTTATTTGTTTTGTATAGTTAATATCCCAAATCTATTTTTTTTTTTAAAGAAAAAACTACAACTCAACAGAGGAAAATCAACCCAGTTAAAAACATGGCGAAGGACCTGAATAGACATGACCAACAGGGACGTGCATTCCATATCACTAGTCGTAGGGAAGTGCAGATTCAAACCACTTTGAGGGTCTGCTTTCCGACCCGAGTCCTCCCCCGTAAACATGCTCCGGCAGATCCTGGGTCAGGCCAAGAAGCATCCGAGTTTGATTCCCCTGTTTATATTTATTGGGGCTGGAGGTACTGGAGCAGCACTGTATCTCACGCGTTTGGCAATGTTCAATCCTGATGTCTCTTGGGACAGAAAGAATAACCCTGAACCCTGGAGCAAACTGGGTCCCAATGATCAGTACAAGTTTTACTCAGTGAATATGGATTACAGGAAACTGAAGGAAGAAGGTCCAGACTTCTAAATGAGATATTTCACTTATAAAGCTGCTCATAATGAAGGTCTTCCAGAAGCCATCCGCACAATTTTCCACTTAACCAGGAAATATTTCTCCTAAATGCATGAAATCGTTTTGATGTGTTCAGATTTACACTGGTTAATAAATATCTGAAACTTGAAAGAAAAACCACTTTGAGGGCTGGCTCTGTGGCACAGCACAGGTGTACACACAATAAAATTTACACAGGAAAAGACATGAAGGTCAGATTACTGCATTTTAATGTTAAACGTTCGATTTCTCTTTTTTTTTTTTTCAAATTCATCGGTATATTAGAAGCATGAGAGTACTTAGACCTTTGGCTTTTGTGAAAGTATTGTTGGAAGATTTAACTGCATGCAAAAAGTGTTTTATTAATTGAATTGTTCAGTTAGGCTTAGAGTAGGAAAATAAAACAATTTGTGTACATTGCAAAGTTTTTTGTTTTTTGGGTTTTTTGTTTGTTTTTGTTTTGTTTGTTTTGAGAGACATTTTTGCTGTAAGGTGTGTGTACTTACTGGAGAGACAGGGGATGGCCATGCCACATCCCTTCTCCTTCATTCTCCTTTCAGGATTTTGGACACACATATACCTGATCCCAGTGTGAGTTTTAAGCCGCTTGGTCTGAGACCAGAGCCATGGGGGTGGGGGTGTCCAGGGACATAACCATTATGCCATCTGCTGATTCTGCAAGGTATATTTTTAAGGTGTGTTTAAAAATGGGTCATCATCGGCGCCAGCAAGTGGCATGGTGGTTAAGGCGCTGGAATCCCACAGGGTCAACCGCAATTTGGGTCCCAGGCCTGGTAGCCCACATTCTCACTCTCTGTCTGTCTGTCTCTCTTTCACACGTGCACACACACATGCTTTATACCAAATTAAAATATTAAAACTTTTTTAAATGGGTCATCTTTAGTAAGTCTTTGATAAGTTTTTTCTTGCTTACGGTAATGTGAAAACTTTCTAAAGAGAAAAGCAGGGCTGGCAGGTGGCATGGTGGTTGGGAGCGCTAGACTCCCACATAATCCACCACAGTTGATTTGAGTCCTGGACCTGGCAACTTGCTTTCTCTCTCTCTCTCTCTCACTCTCACTCTGTTCCTCTCCAGTTAAATTAAAATAAATAAACTTATCTAATTCTAAAAACAAAGAGGAAAGCAGGATAAGTCGTCTTTACAGGGTATTCTGTCCAGCACCTGTATATTTCTCGTACAAGTTCTCAGACATCTCTTCTCCTTTTGTTTGGTACCAGGTTGAAGGAGTTTTCTATGTGAACGATGCTCTGGAGAAGTTAATGTTTGAGGAATTAAGGAATGCCTGTCGAGGTGGTGGTAAGTGCGTTAGAGTTTCACTTAGGATAGTCCAGATGTTCCTTCCCTGTGACCCCCCCAAAATAAAATCTTGAATAGTCATCATTTTTAAATATTGTCAAAGTATCATCAGGACTTGAAATGAGACCCCAAAACCTTATTTGCATTTACACTGCTGGCCACTTGGTCTTATAGAAAGGATTTGGGACTGGGTGAATCTGAGCTAACCTTGGACATTAATAAAAAGAGCTACCATTTATCACACAGTGTGCCAGGCATTTTACTAAATGATTTACGCATTACCTTGTGATACTTGGGGTGACCCTAGGGAGAAGATATTATCTCCATTTTACTGATGAGCTTTCCAAGGCTCAGTGAGATGAAGTGATTTTAATTTGCCCAAAGCCACACAGCTTCTTGGTGATGGAGCCAGAATTGAGATCCAAGAATGTCTGGTTCCAAAGCCAGTATCCTTTTTTTTTTAATTTATTCATTCATTTATTATTTTTTTAATTTGACCAGAGAGAGACAGGGGGTGGGGCGGGGAGGGGGGCAAGAAAACACCTGGTCTGGAACTCAAACCATGCTTGGCCATGTGGGAGGGTCCAGCTCCCTAACCACCACACCACCTGCTGGTCCCCAAAGCCAGTATTCTTTACTGATACACGGATTAGCCTTTACATATTTTATCTATAAAATAGGACAACAGGCTGCAGCGAGCTTTTGAGGTAAATGTTGAAAACTCTGAGATAATACTCTAGTGTTGATGGAATAAAAATGATCTATCTTAGCCGTTTTTTCTTTTTTGAGAGGTTTTTGCTATAGGGCGCGTGCGCTCGCCAGACAGAGAGAGACATAGAGACAGAAAGTGAGAAATCACCCCCGAGGGGGGATGGTCACGCCGCAATCCCTTCTCCATTCTCCTCTTGGGATCTTGGGCACGCACACACACGCGCCCGGCATGAGTTTTAAGCCACGGGGTCCGGGACGCAAACCACGGTCGACTACGTGGGAGTCCAGCGACATAGCCATTACGCTAACTGCTGGTTCCCTATCTTAGCCCTTTTATTTTATAGATCAGAAGCTCTCCCTCTCCCACCAGATTATGCTCACTTCTATAAAATGATAGCTACTAAGTGAAAGATCAGGGACTAGAACCCCTTATCCCCTGACTCTCAATTCAGTATTTCCCCAGCTCTTCCACATTGCCCATCTTTGTCACTTAGAATTAAATCAATGTTGATTTCTCTTTTTAAGTAATGTGAACTAATGAAAGAATAGATGTTTTTATGTTAACAGCATAAAGTTCAATGATTATGTTTTATATCTCCGGGTTTATTTCTTTGCAAGCAGCCTTCTTGTGGTGTACACAGAACACTGACAGCCTGTTTGTAATTAGTCTAGTTGCCCCCACTCGGTCCTGTGCTGCCTTTGTGAACAAACTCCTCCCCCACTTGTATCTCCCACTTGTACTTCCATGCAGTATCCTGCTGTGCTTTTTTGTTGTAGCCCCTTCAGGTAATAAAGGCTGGAAATGTGAATATAACTAATGCTAAAATTCAGATTTATGGAACCAGCCCATAGTGTGGTAGTTAAGGAGGCTGGATCCCATGTGGTTGACTGCATAGTTCAAGTCCCAAACCCCATGTGATGGTCACGCTGCAATCCCTTCTCCTCCATTCTCCTCTCGGGATCTTGTGAATGCACGCACACGCGCCCAGCATGAGTTCTAAGCCACCGGATCTGGGACGCGAACCGTGGTCGACTACGTGGGAATCCTGAAAGGATGAAGGAATGGAGAAGGGCTTGCAGTGTAACCATTCCCCATGGGGAGTGCTTTCTCACTTTACTTGTCTCTGTGTCTTTCTCCCGTAAGCACATGTGACCTCTGGCAAAAACATTTAAAAACAAAAATCAAATGTGTCATCTTTTCTAATACTGAATTTTTGTCAACAGGTGTTGGTGGCTTCCTGCCAGCCATGAAACAGATTGGCAACGTGGCAGCCCTGCCTGGAATTGTTCATGTGAGTCAGAGTTCAGAGCTTTAATTTCTATTTTTTTCTTAGTACAGAGTTTGTTGAGAGAGTGAATGACCATGCCTAACTGATAATGTTGTGATATAGACACTGGCCTTTGAACATCTAGAAATAACCATGGGGCCTAAAGAAATAATTGCATCTTGGAAGCCGCAGGTGACATGGTAGTTGAGGTGTTAGACACCCATATGGCTGACCATGGTTTGAGTCCCGAATCTGGCAGTTTGCTTTCTCATCTCTCTCTTTCTCCCTCTCTCATCAAATTAAAAAATAATAAATGAATAAAATTAAATAATTCTTTTTTAAAAATAAATAAATAATTGCGTCTAAATAACATCTCAATTTCTGGTTGCCTTTGATTGTCATCTATTAGCATTTGAGAGCTTCAAAGTGGTTTATGTGTTTTCTTGGTGTTTTTTCTTTTTTAGGTTTTTGCCATAGGGTACACGTGCTCACCAGAGACAGAGAGGAGGGAAAAGTGAGATTATCTCCCAAGGGAGACGGTCAACACCATAGTCCTTTTTCCTCCATTCTCTCAGGATTTTGGGTGTGCGTGCACACACACCTAGCATGAGTTTCAAGCCACTGGGTCCAGGACCCATATTGCTATCATCCATGTGGGAATCCAGCATCTTAACCACCTCGCCACCTGCTTGTGTTTGTTTTATTGTTGTCATAGAAACATCATTATTACTGAGTCAGTGGATCAGTATGCTACCGATATTGTAGGTTTCACTATGGCTCTCTTCAAGAGGACAGTTGAAGAAGGAATGGAGAGAAGCTTAAGGGTTAGGACTATGCAGATGGGGAGGTAACTACGTGGCTATTCTGGTTGTAATTGGAGAAGGATGGTGGCAGTAACAGGGTTGAATTGGATGGTACAGGAGGACCCCACTGCAATCTGTAACATTCAGATGTTACCACTGGAGGTAGATGTTGGGAAAGGATCTATTCAGCAGATCTTTCTTGAGGTCTTTTTGCCATCAACTATGCTGGGCACTTGGAGGGAAAGTGAAATGATGTTGCTTGTGCATTTCGGGAACTCGTAGGTGTCTCTGTATCCTTACCACATTTGACCTGCGTTCTTCCTTGGTAATAGTCTTTCTAAGCTCCAGGGTTAGCAATACAATATTCATACCATCGAATGGATTACATGTTTCTGTGATATCTTAAACTCTTGATGACCTGTGTAATTCAGGTATTTCCATCTTAAGCTGACATGGTCATGATTTGGTCATCTTAATGTAGTAATACATTAAAGTTAGTATGTGGCCCCCCTATGTCCTTTTATTCCTTTTTTTTTTTTTTTTTTT